CAAACCTCTCCCGGCACCCAGCGCTGTTCTGCAAGACCTCTGAACTGGGGGTGCTGTGCACAAGTCCAGTTTGCGGTCCCCGACGAGGGGTGTGCGGGAGGAGGGAGAGGGGGAGGGGGAGGGGAAGGAGGAGGAGGAGGAGGAGGAGGAGGAGGAGGAGGAGAGGAGGAGGAGGGAGGGGGAGGAGGAGGAGGAGGAGGAGGAAGAGGAAGAGGAAGATGAGGGGAGAAGGAGGAGAGGAGGAGGTGAGGAGGAGGAGAGGAGGAGGAGGAGAGGAGGAGGAGGAGAGGAGGAGGAGGAGGAGGAGGGAGGAGGAGAGGAGGAGGACGAGGAGGGAGGAGGAGGAGGAGGGGAGGAGGAGGAGGAGGAGGAGGAGGAGGAGGAGGAGGAGGAAGGAGGAGGAGGAGGGGAGGAAGGAGGAGGGAGGAGCAGGAGAGAGGAGGAGGAGAACGAGGAGGAAGAAGCTCTGGATGACGACGAGGTGTGCCGAGGAACGAAGCACCAAGCCAAGGGGAGGAGGAAGAGGAGGAGGAGAGGGAGAGGACGGAGGAGAGGAGGAGAAGGAAGGAGGAGGAGGCGGAGGAGGAAAGAGGAAGAGGAGGAGGCGGAGGGGGAGGAGGAGGGGGGAGGAGGAGGAGGAGGAGGAGGAGGAGGAGGAGGAGGAGGAGGAGGAGGAGGAGGAGGAGAAGGAGGAGGAGGAGGAGGAGGAAGCGCCACGCTGGAGACCTGCCGCCTTGGAGCCCACATGGCTACGGCCAGTATTTTGTGCTCTTCCGCATGTCGCCTCTCTTCCGTCCGTAGACGTCGTGTCGGAGCGGTGTGAGGCCAGATCGTGTCCATCTGGTAGCCTCAGGGGCCATCGTTAGAGGTCAGAAAATCCACCCCCATAATAACCACCCCGACACGCGAAGTCGTTTAGTAAACGCACCCGAAGAAAGAATCAAACAGGGCAGGGCTGTTTAATCTGCCGGCCCCCTTGTGGGGCCACCAGGCTGTAGGGCGAAGGTTCGCGGTTTCCTGTACCAGTTGCAGCTTCCAGTTTCCACTGTTACAGTTCTGCTTCTTGCTGCTTACTGTTCCTTGTTGATGGACTGCGCGAGGGGGGCAGGCCCAAAACAGGCATTTTTACCACGCCCTGAGCGTGTGCTCTGAATTGCTGGGGTGGGTAAAATTTGACACCCCTCACGCAGATCGGCGGGGTCAGGGTCCAAAAACACATGTGATTTGCCACATTTCTGAAATTCGCTAGCACCCCTCACGCAGATCGGCGGGGTCAGGGCCAAACATGATCGACCCACGAACCCGGAAAGGAATATAGAAATGTAACGCATGGCAACGTTTCAAAGACACCTGATTGGATGACGGGCAAGTTGCAATGCTGATTGTATCGATCTTGATGTACCGTGCCGAGGGCTGTGCTGTGCTGCACCGTGCTGAATTGTGATGTGTCATGCCGCGGTTGTACTCTATAGCGTCGTGGATCGAGTCTTCCTTTGCATCCGAGTCCTGACCGAACTGATCTGGATCTTAAGCTCGAGCTGCCTGAAAACATAGTAGCTGCCCCAGAGCAAATTCACAGGGGGGCATGCCAGGAGGACGCGCCGCGAAACGTCCCAAGGGACGCGCCAGGCGACGTGCCAGGGGACGTGCCATGGGGTCGCACCGTAGGACGTGCCAAAGGGACGCGCTACGGAACGTGCCAATGGAGGCACGCGACGTGCCAGGGACTGCCAAGAGGACGCCCAACGGAATGTGCCAGGAACTTGGCAAGTGCAATGATGATTGTATCGATCTTGATGTACCGTGCCGAGGGCTGTTCTGGCTGCACCGTGGTGAATTGGATGTGTCATGCCGCGCGTTGTGTCTATAGCGTTGTGGATCGAGTCCTCGTTGCATCCGAGTCCTGACCGAACTGATCTGGATATTAAGCTCGAGCTGACTGAGCAGATGGTAGCTGCCCCAGAACCAATCGACAGGGGGACATGCCAGGAGGACGCGCCGCGGAACATCCCAAAGGACACGCCAAGCGACGTGCCAGGGGACGTGCCATGGGCACGCACCGCGGGACGTGCCAAGGAGACGCGCTACGGAACGTGCCAATGGATCGTGCCTACGCGACGTGCCAGGGGGACTCGCCACAGGACGCGCCACGTAACGTGCCAAAGAACGTGCCAAGTTTCAATGCTGAGTGAGTGTACCGATCTTGATGTAATGTGCCGAGGGCTGTGCTGTGCTGCGCCGTGCTGAACTGCGATGTGCCATGCCGCGATTGTGCTCTATAGCGTTGTGGATCGAGTCTTCCTTTGCATCCGAGTCTTGGCCAAACTGATCTGGATCTGAAGCTCGAGCTGCCTGAAAATCTAGTAAGCTGCCCCAGAGCAATGCACAGGGGGGCATCGGCCAGCCAGGAGAACGCGCCGCGAAACGTCCCAAGGGATGCGCCAGGCGACGTGCCAGGGGACGCGCCATGGGGTCGCACCGTAGGACGTGCCAAGGGGACGCGCTACGGAACGTGCCAATGGATGTGCCACGGGATGTGCCAGGGGACGCGCCACGCGACGTGCCAGGGGGACTCGCCAAGGGACGCCCCACGGAACGTGCCAAGGAACGTGCCAAGTTGCAATGCTGATTGTATCGATCTTGGTGTACCGTGCCGAAGTCTGTGCTGTGCTGCACCGTGCTGAATTGCGATGTGCCATGCCGCGGTTGTGCTCTATAGCGTCGTGGATCGAGTCCTCCTTTGCATCCGAGTCCTGACCGACCTGATCTGGATCTTAAGCTCGAGCTGCCTGAAAACATAGTAGCTGCCCCAGAGCAAATTCACAGGGGGGCATGCCAGGAGGACGCGCCGCGAAACGTCCCAAGGGACGCGCCAAGCGACGTGCCAGGGGACGTGCCACGGGGTCGCACCGTAGGACGTGCCAAGGGGACGCGCTACGGAACGTGCCAATGGATGTGCCACGCGACGTGCCAGGGGGACTCGCCAAGGGACGCCCCACGGAATGTGCCAAGGAACGTGCCAAGTTGCAATGCTGATTGTATCGATCTTGATGTACCGTGCCGTTGGCTGTGCTGTGCTGCACCGTGCTGAATTGCGATGTGCCATGCCGCGGTTGTGCTCTATAGCGTCGTGGATCGAGTCTTCCTTTGCATCCGAGTCCTGACCGAACTGATCTGGATCTTAAGCTCGAGCGGTCTGAACATATAGTATCTGCCGCAGAGCTTATTGACAGGGGGACATGGCAGGAGGACGCGCCGCGGAACGTCTCAAGGGACGCGCCAGGCGACATGCCAGGGGACGTGCCATGGGGACGCACCGCGGGACGTGCCAAGGGGACGCGCTACGGAACGTGCTGGGACAAGCGTTTCGCTCGAGACATCCTGTCGAAATCCTCATTCTAGGCATCCGCCTGGGCGACGAGGACGCGTGAAACCAAGCGTCTCGCTCGAGACATCCTCAACAGATCCTGGCGCTTGACCTCTGCCTGGGCAATCTGGAGGCGGGAAACCAAGCGTCTCGCTCGAGACATCCTCAAGACCTGGGCACGTGAAACCCAGCATTGCACCTGAGAGATCCTTTGAATTCTGGTCCCCAGGAAAGGACAATCCATAACACAAAACAAGCGTTTCGCTCGAGACATCCTCAACAAATTCTGAAAAACAAGCGTTTCGCTAGGGACGTCCTCAAAAATAATTCCGCCGGCCCACCTCGACCTCGATATTTATCAAGGAATAATTCCGCCGGCCCACCTCAAGTCAGGTCCGGGGGTAAACAGCTAAAAGAGAACCCTGGGCCTACGCCCTTTCTGGGAAAAACAGCGGTGATTTGCCACAATTCTCAAATTCGGTGGCACCCCTCATGCAAATCGGCGGGGTCAGGGTGCAAAAAACATACAAGATTTGCCACATTTCTGAAATTCGCTGGCGCCCCTCACGCAGATCGGCAGGGTCAGGGTCCAAAAACACAAGCGATTTGCCACAGTTCAAAATTCGGTAACACCCGTCACGCAGATCGGCAGGGTCAGGGTCCAAAAACACAAGCGATTTGCCAAAGTTCTAAATTCGGCAGCACCCCCCACGCAGATCGGCAGGGTCAGGGTCCAAAAACACACGGGATTTGCCACATTTCGGAAATTCGGCGGCACCCCTCACGCAGATCCGTAGGGTCAGGGTCGAAAAACACAAGGGATTTGCTACATTTCTGAAATTCGGTGGCATCCGTGACGCAGATCCGTAGGGTCAGGGTCAAAAAACAAACAGGTCCCGACACTGCTTCACGGCGGCGCCCAGACCTCATGATTTAGCTTTTGCATCTCCCATTATCCGAGACAGGGGGCCGGCGGCATGGGGCGAAGCCCTTACCTATAAACGCCCAGTGTCGTTTATTAAACGCCAATTTTCGGGTCCGGGTCGTTCTCCCTCCCGTGATCAGGGGCAATCGTGGGACCAGACGGGGCGATCTTTGAGTCAGCGCCGGGCCACCTTGGCAGCGCCTCCAGCGCCGATGCAAGAAATCCGCGCGGACCTCCGAAAGTGAGCATGTCTATACGAATGTTTTCTTCTGCGTTTTCTTCTTCTTCAAGGGCCATCGTGGACCACACCAGGGTTATCTTGAGAGCCTCTTGAACAATCTCGGACGCCTTTGGAACCCATCCTGGGGCCCACTTTGAGCCGTGGAGTGGCCTCCACGTCTCTTCCTCTTCTTCCTCTTCCAAACACTCTTCTTCCTCCTCCTCTTTTCTTCCTCCTCCTCCTCCTCCTTCTCTCCTTCGCATTGTCCTCCTCCTCCTCCTCCTTCTCGTCCTGCGTCACGTCCTCCTAACTCTTGCCTCACCACCCTGGGATCCCGAGTAAGTATCCCAAGACATCGCTGCGGACCTCCTCTCCCAGCGGCCGGTGGAGTGGCGCATGCCTCCAAGATCGATGTAATCACAGGTGATCTGCAGCGCACGCGGCAGCGATGCGCTGCGACCGCGAGTGCGCGTGCCAAAAGCACGCAGCGTGCGTGCCGAGCGGTCGGCGCTGTAATGCCACCGCCCAGCGGGCACGGTGCATACTTGGGGCGGGGAGGATGGCGGCAGCAGGAGCGTGCGGAGGAGGAAAAAACAGCGTACACGCCGGTCCGAAGAAGTAGGTAGAAACATGAAGTAGGAAGGCGGATAAAGTATATTGGGTGCGGGCCCGCACAAACAATAACAAGCACGACAAGCACATGATTATCGATTCTTGAAGTAGGAAGGCGCTCGAAATAGGTTGGGATCTGACTGGGAATCCAGGAATCCCTACTTCCAACGACCGGTGAGTAAGCATATACTTTCGGAGGTCGGCGCAGATTTCTCCTCGGATCGGCGATGGACGCGCCTGGCGGCGCCCATGCCGCTTGCACCCCCTGGGGGGGTCCGGCGCCGATCCAAGGCATGCGCGCACACCTCCGGGAAGGGTTCTTCCTCTTCTTCCAAGAAGGAGTGGGTCTAAACCAGAAGCCTCCGAGATGGGCTCCGAGTGGATGGCGTCGGAGCATCACGCCGCATCGGCGATGCACCGCCGATGCATCGGTGATGCATCGGCGACGTCGGCGGAGCTTCGGCAACGCCAGCGGAGAAAATCGGACTCCACATCGAGCCACATCGGCGATGCGTCGGCGATGCAGCACGATCCTCCGACCCCATCTGCTCGGACCCCATCTAGGAGGCCTAGCTGAACAGGCGGCAACCATCAGAGGGAGCCAGAAACACATCGTGCGTTCAAAAAGTTGAGAGCTGGCCCTCCTGTACCGCCTGCGGAAAGGGAGGTCCACGCAGGCGAGCTGGCCAGCATCCGGGGAGGCCGCCCCACAGGGAGCACGACGAAGGAGGAGGAGGAGGAGGGGGAGGAGGAGGAGCAGGAGGAGCAGGAGGAGGAGCAGGAGCAGGAGGAGGGGGAGGAGGAGGAGGAGGAGGAGGAGGAGGATGAGGAGGAGGAGGAGGAGGAGGAGGAGGAGGAGGAGGAGGAGGAGGAAGGGGGAGCTGAGCGACGATCCAAAACGGGCCCCACGCAGCATGACATAGCGACCCTACGCGGTGGCTTGCGCGGGCCGCCGGTGCAGCAGGCCACAAACAGTGGAGACGAGGGCGCTTGCGCGCGACCTTGCGCGGGCAGCTTGCGCGCCAGTGCCGGTGCAGTGTCGGTGCAGACGACCCCGGCATCTTCCGTCGCTCACATCGGCAACAGATCGGCGATCGGCTCCCGGTGCAGTCGGGGCGTTGACCCGAGGAACCCTAAATAAGGAACGAGGCCCCTTTTTCCCACAGGTTCAGCCTCGATCTCCCATGGAAAACCTCGGGAAAACCCGAGGCAAGCTTCGAAACCATCAAGGAACACCGAGCCCCTCCCCAATGAAGAGGGCTCCTTCTTCAGCGCCCCGACCATAGCGAAGCCGGACGTTCCTGCGCGGGGTGGTCCACGAGGCCCCGGTCAGCCATGAATCGGCGAGTGGGGATCGATGCGTTCCCCCCTGAGCCTGCCGTCGGACCTGCCACAGACGAACGCCCCTCAAGAACAGGAGGCCGCAGGCCAAGACACACAGAGCATCCAAGGGTATCCGGACCAGGATGCACGAGAGCATCCAACGAACACGAAGGACATTTGGGTACCCTCCCCGAACCGACCTCGATCTTCCACCTCGGTCCGCCTGTATCCCCCCCCCACGCTGCCCCTGACAGCAGACGGGGACGGAAGACCACACCGCGTCGCCGATTCGTCGGCGACGCGTCGGCCATGTGGCTGCGCCCCCCGAGAAAGCTGGGCTTCGAATCGATGCGCAGCACCGGTACAGTCCCGATGCACCGGTGATGCGGCGCGATCCTCCGACCCCATCCGCTCGGGCCCCTTTGGGGCGGCCTGGGCCTTCGCACCGTGCAGTGGAGGCACCTCCCGGGAGCAGCTCAGAACTTGCCGGACTTCCTGAAGTCCGCGCCGGCGTAGGGGGCCTTGCTCTCCTCTGCGGGCAATACTTTTGTCTATATCCACTGCAGTGTGGAGTTTCGGGCTCCCTTCCCAAGAAACCTGAGGCGCACTGGATATGGATAAATTTGCCCCCTGGAGGCTCGATTTTTATCCATATCCAGTGCGCCTCGGCCTTGTGGCGCCGCTGGATATGGACGCACTTGATATGGACACTGGATATGGACTGGATACTGGATATAGTCCAAGACGCACTGGATATGGACACTAACCTTGCCCGCATCCTCCTCGATGCGCAGGAGCTGGTTGTACTTGCAGTTGCGCTCGGAGCGGCAGGGGGCCCCGGTCTTGAGGTGGCCGGTGCCGAGCGCGACCGTGAGGTCGGCAAGGAAGTGGTCCTCCGTTTTTTTTTTTGCTTCTTTTTGTTGTGTGGGGGGGGGGGAAAAAAAGGAAGTGGTCCTCCGTCTCGCCGCTGCGGTGGGAGCAGAAGACACCCCAGCTGTTCTCGACGCACAGCTTGTAGGCCTCGCCGACCAGCCATCACTGGGGGAGCTGTGGTCCTTACACCCCTGGGGGGACCGATCGCGCCGACGATCTCTCGAGAGGGGTGTCGAAATCGATGGGCCCCCCAGGGGGGTAAGGAACACAGCTCCCCCAGTTGCGGCTGGCCGGCCTCGATGGCCTCCGAGATGGACCCGATCTGGTTCACCTTCAGGAGCATCGCGTTGGTGGCCTTCTTCTCCACGCCCTTGGCCACGATCTTGGGGTTCGTGCAGTAGAGGTCGTCCCCCACGATCTCGACCTTGTCGCCGACCTTCGCGGTGAGGGCGGCGTGGTTGTCAAAGTCGTTCTCGTCGCAGGGGTCCTCCAGGATGACCACCGGATACCTGCCGCACAGGTCCACCCACCAGTCGACCAGGTCCGAGCCCGCCTTGAGGTTCTTCGGGTCCTGCTCGCCGGCGGGCTTCTTGAAGTCCAGGTTGTCCGCCGCCGTGCCCTCGGCACGCGGGAGGCGTCGGAGGCCCTCGTGCGCTGGCAGGCAAGGCGTCCGCCTGCTGCTGCTCTCTGGGGGGGCGCCCCCCTGTCGGCAAAGACGGCCCCCAGGCATCGCCCCCGCAGTCCCGCCGGCCCGTGGGGCCCCGACGATGCGAAACCTCCTCCTCCTCCTCCTCCTCCTCCTCCTCCTCCTCCTCCTCCTCCTCCCCCTCCTCCTCCTCCTCCTCCTCCTCCTCCTCCTCCTCCTCCCGCTGCAGTTTCTGCGCCAGGTCGATGCGTGATGGTCCCCCGGGGCCCGCAGCGGGGCGAAGATACCCGGGGTGCAGAACAGTGGCGGCGCCCCGGTCCGAGGGGCGGTGCCACCAGCACCCGGGGTGCAGTTAGTTTCGAAGATCGGGGGGTAGCGACGCGTAGCACCGCACAATCTCCTCGCCAGGCTCCAAGATGGCGGGCGGCCTCGGATAGCCCAAGGCAGGGCGACGAAACTTATCCATACCTATACGACCACCCTTCGGGTGATAAGGAGGCTGTGGGGGGGGAGGGGGGAACCAACATCTAACTCAATCGATCTCATTATCGATCTCACTCAACGGGACACCACGGGACACCGCGGGACACCACGGGACACCGCGGGACACCTCTCGATCTCACTATAGGTCTCACTATCGATCTCACGATCGATCTCACTCAACGGGACAACATAGGACACCACGGGACACCACGGGACACCTCTGGACACCACATCGATCTCACTATCGATCTTACTATCGATCTCACTATCGATCTCACTATCGATCTCACTATCGATCTCACTATCGATCTCACTCAACGGGACACCATAGGACACCACGGGACACCTGTCGGTCTCACTATCGATCTCACTATCGATCTCACTATCGATCTCACTCAACGGGACACCGCGGGACACCACGGGACACCACGGGAAACCGCGGGACACCTCTCGATCTCACTATCGATCTCACTATCGATCTCACTTAACGGGACACCATAGGACACCTCGGGACACCACGGGACACTTGTTGATCTCACTATCGATCTCACTATCGATCTCACTCAACTGGACACCACGAGACACCTCGGGACACCACAGGACATCTCTCGATCTCACTATCGATCTCACTATCGATCTCGCTTTTTGGGACACCACGGGACACCTCGGGACACCACATCGATCTCACTATCGAGATCATTATCGATCTCACTATCGATCTCACTCAACGGGACACCACGGGACACCACGGGACACTTGTCGATTTCACTATCGATTTCAATATTGATCTCACTTTTGGGGACACCACGGGACACCTCGGGGTACCACATCGATCTCAGTATCGATCTCACTATCGATCTGACTATCGATCTCACTACCGATCTCACTATTGATCTCATCATCTATCTCACTCAACGGGACACCACGGGACACCACGGGACACCACGGGACACCGCGAGCCACCGCCGGACGAACGGAGGGACGGGCGGGCGGGGGAGAATCATTTGTCTTGACTTCGCCCTAGCAGCGGCGGACACCACGAGACACCACGGGACACCACGGGACACCGCAGGACACCGCGAGCCACCGCCAGACGGGCGGGAGGGGGAGAATCATTTGTCTTGACTTCGCCCTAGCAACGGCGGACACCACGGGACACCACGGGACACCGCGGGACACCGAGGGCCACCGCTGGACGGGCGGGAGGGGGAGAATCATTTGTCTTGACTTCGCCCTAGCAACGGCGGCTTCATTCCTCTCGCGCGCCCACGTAGCTTCGCCTCGCCCGCACGCACGACACGAACGAAACGAAGCGATTTCCCGGTTGGGGGTCTCCGTTCCGCAGCGATCTCACCCCCCAACCTCCGATCCACTGCTCCCTGGCGAGGTCCATCCTGAACCCAGCAGCGGTGTACACTTTGCGCCCTCCCGGCGTTGCCAGGAGGGCGTCAGCACAGCTCCTGGGTTCTGGATGGGCCTGGCCATGGAGCCGGGGGCATGTGAAGATCCCGTCGCCCCACAAGGCGGCCTCCAACATTGCGCAAGATGGTCCGACTTGGCCAGGGTGGCCTCCAACGCGCCTCCGAGAGGGCCCACGCCGGCTCGAGGTGGCCACGGATCCTCCCTAGGACGCCCCCCAAGAGTTCAGACTCATATAGTGGATGCCGCGGGCATCCCACCAGCCCTCTGGGCGTAGGTGATCTGGGGAGGCTTCCCTTGCAACCCCCTCCTTCCCCTTCGGGGAGGGGTTTATCCGAACCCCCTCCCCCTGGACCTGGACGGGGGTGGTCGAGGGTGGTTTGAGCGTCCCAAATTGGCCAAAACAGCTCCAACAGCGCCTCGGAATTCCCCAAAAGGCCAAAATTTTTGAAACACCCAAAGAAACTCCATGATTGTTGCGTTCTCGCCTTTCCGCTTCCGGTGGCCATCCGAGGCCTCAAGATGGCTCCAAGATGGCCCAAGAGGGCCCCAGGAGAGGCCCAAGAGCGCCCCAAGAGCGTTCCAGAGAGGGGTCCAGGAGGCGATGTTCGGTGCTCCCGAGGGGGGAAGCTAATTGGAGTTTCCCTCGTTGTTGATCGATGTCCTCCAAGATGGCCCCAAGAGCGCCCCTGAAGCTCCCGAGAACGGCCCAGGAGGGCCCAAGAGGCGCTCAAACAGCCCCAAGAGGCGCCCAAGAGGCCTTCAAAAGACCCCATACGAGGTCTCAGAAGGATCCCCGAAGTACCCAACTCTCCCTCATTCTCCTCCTTCTCCTCCTCCTCCTCCTCCTCCTCCTCCTCCTCCTCCCCCTCCCTCCTCCTTCTCCTCCTCCTCCTCCTCC